TTTATTTTTATTAGTTGGAGGCTAATTACTTTACAACATTGCAGTGGTTTTTGTCATACATTGAAATGAATTAGCCATGGATTTACATGTATCCCCATCCCGGTCCCCCCTCCCACCTCCCTCTCCACCCCATCCCTCTGGGTCTTCAGTTTCTTAACAGTTAAAGACTGATAAGAACACCTCCTCCTCTATAACCCAAGGGGCTGAAGAAACCGCATGGGTGTAAAAATGAACTGTGGGGTGACTCTCAACCATCAAAGTTACTATGAGATCAGGTTCTGCAACCAAACCAACTGGTTATCTGCCACCTCTCACATTCTAGTACTGTGAGGCTGCTTCCAGAACTCAGGTCTAGAAAAGACAGCTGCACTGCTGGGCGGAGTCTTGGCAGTGGCTTTTCAGGACTCACAGAGGGAAACCCTATGCAACCTGAACTCTCCTATGAGGAAAGAGGCTTTGGGGAATGTCCCCAACTACTATTATTAGTAGTTACTAATAATATCCTTATGCTGACAGGCGAGCCAGCGGGAAGAAATAAAACTGATTGTGTCCCTCTCGGTCAGACCAACCAGCTAGGGTTTGGGTTTGTTTTTGGTCAGTGTAAAAACAAAACACCCCCCTCTCTGCAGAACACTGATTCTACACAAGAAAGACCTGCAAACCCCTGAGCAGGTTCACGGTGATAGCACGCTGAATGAAGGGGCAAGCGACTCCCAGAAGAAGTTCTTGTTTACTCATTTCAGACATGCAGGAGCAAAACAAACTGTTCCTCTTCTTACTCTCAATTTCAATTAACAACAACAAAAAAAAACAGCCTCAGTGGAGAATCAGAGCAGAAGCTGAAACAAGTAAGTGTAAACTCTTAGTTAGCTGTGCTAATTAGGGAGAGAAGGACATGAATAATTAAAAAAAAGAACAACCAAAAAAAACCCCACCTAAACTTAATTCTTACATTAAGCAAGGTTCCAACCTCTATTCCACTAAACCTCTTCCTTGAGTTAGCGGTTATCCCTTACTTCCTAAGGTTGGGTAAGCTCTGGGTCAGAAAGCTTGTCGCCTGGTCTCTCCCTCCAGCTGGTTAAGAAACATCTCGGAGCCACAGTGGGGCTGGCCAGCTCCCAAAGGATGCCTCACTAACCTCTGTATCCTCTCTTTCTAGAACAACAACTGGCTTCTCATGGATATTCAGCAAATGTTTGTGCAATTGACCTAAAATGATGCCTAACAAATATGTTCAATTTCTCTCCAGTGTGAACCTGAACTCCTGACAGTCACATTCTCACCAGGCTGCACACATCTGGGGACCCCTGCCATGCACATTTGTGTTCCAGGGATTGTGATTGACCACAGAACACACAGAACTGCCCCCGACCCCCAGGGGTTTGTAAGACTACCATGCTACCCCAACCCTTCCAGTTTTATTAACCAGGAAAAAAATTAAGCAACATTGGAACACTAAGTGTGCATGACCTATTTATCAAACAATCAAACATTTACTAAGTGCCTGCCAGCCTGCATAGAATAGAAATCCTTGTCTACAAAGACCGTGTTAATGAGGTGAGGAATTCAGGCATATGATGAAAAGGTAACTAACAAATGGAGGCAGCATGTAATGAATGCCAAATCAACGAGACAGCTGCTGATAAATGCCATGAGATACGAAGGAGGGAACCAAGGCCTCGGCTGGGGACAGCAGACTTAGAAGGGTCTGAAGCCCTAGACCAGCAGCAAAAGTCTAGTTGAGGCAGAAGGAGCCTCCACTCACGTGGTTTAAAGATCTGAACTAATTACAATAGGATCTTCTAATGAGGCTGATAGCACACAGGTCAAAAGCAAAGCAGCAGGAGAAGCAAAGGGAAAAAAAAAAAAAACTCTGTGAGCAACATACAAATGCCAGGTGGCTGCACTACACAGGTTTCGGCCCAGCTCAGACTGATATTTGGGACACATGCACCTGTCAACAGGAGGCCTGAACATATTCTCAATTTGCAAACGTGTTATTTGAACCATGCCTACAGACACCTCCAAATGAGCTGGGCAAACAAACGAACACTAGAGTGCCCATCTCCCACATGTCTACGACCCCAGTCATTGTTCAGAGTCGGCGGAGGGCACTGTGATCTTCTGGCAGCAGGTCTCATTTCCTGATCATGTTTTGCTGCAGCTAGCTAGCAATGACTCTGCGTTCCCTGAGCACATATGCGCCGACAGATGGTGTAAGAGGACCAGAATCATGTTAACTGCTTCAGAAAAGCTAGTTTGGAATGCAAATGTAGTCTGGAGGAGAGTTAAACAGGGAAAATCAGGAAGTGTGTCTCTGTAGTCTGACTGCCACACACAGAATGAAATGTATTCCTAGGCGGTCAAACTACCACGGAAATCCCCTACCAGCCTCCTCCCAGAGTGTCCTGGATGTCACACTGTGTACTTATGTGTCTTAGCACTAGAGGATGGACTCCCTGAGAGTGGAGGAAAACATCCTATTTCTCTTTAGACACATGTCACCCAGCACCATCAGTGCTTGAGAAATGTGTGAGATGGGAATTAACAAGTTAATGGATAAACAGGGACTTCCCTGGCAGTCCAGTGGTTAAGACTCCATGCTTCCAATGCAGAAGGCATGGGTTTGATCCCTGGTCAGGGAGCTAAGATCTTTTGGCATGGCCAAAAGGAAAAAAAAAAATACAAGCTACAGAAAAATTAATGGATAAATAAATGATGACATGAATGTGGGAAGCAGGTGCCCTCTGACTGTCCTCCTCTTTACAAACATCAATCTGAACGTGGACACAGCATGCTGCATACAAAGAGGGCTTCTTCTGACTCCTGGCTCTAAGGCAGCCGCTGACCAGAGCTGCATGGACCAGAGAACAGCCGGGTGAATGGCAGAATGCCAGGACTTTGTTTCCCCCTGTTTCTTGGAGGCCAGGCTGCTCAGCACAAGTCCAGCTACCCACAAAGGAAAGAAACCAGCTGTTAAGATCTCTTTTTTCAAACCACCCACCTCTCTAACTTGCTGCTGGTCCTGTTTCAAAAAGGAGTATAGGAAAAGAAGTCTTTCTTCCTTGCATTAAATGAGATGATTATAGAAGCCCTCTCCTCCTCCTCCAGCAATCTGTCTCATGAATTCAGCCCCAAAACAAGAAGTGAGAGCTAGTCTGCCCCAGCCTAATGTTGACAAAATTAACCTTGTCACAACTCGGACAAAAGTAATGAAAGAACTGGTTCTGTAACATCAGATTCATGAAGGCAGAGGTAACTAACTCTTGACATTTTTGCTTTTCAGAGGAATATACTGAAAAGAGTTCAGAATGTAATTTAAAGACCTGAATGCTAGTCTTGCCTGTTACGAACAGAGCGGGCATCTAGAGCAAGGTACTTTACTTTCTGAGCCTCTGTTTCTCATCTATAAAATGAAGCCATTAACCCCAAATGTCCTTTGCAGGTCTATCTGTAAAAACCCCAGAACCAAAGGTTATCATAGTAAAAGTCACCTGGTTATCAAATAGCATGCATTCCTGAAATTATTATTCATGTACTATTTTTAATTATTATTATTATTCATTCTATGAATAACTGTGTCACACACAAAGCTAAGAAAGACAAACTGAACAGCCTGGTGACTCAGACGGTAAAGCGTCTGCCTACAATGTGGGAGACCTGGTCCGATCCCTGGGTCAGGAAGATCCTCTGAGGAAGGCAATGGCACCCACTCCAGTACTCTTGCCTGGAAAATCCCATGGACGGAGGAGCCTGGTGGGCTACAGTCCATGGGGTCACAAAGAGTCGGACACAACTGAGCGACTTCACTTTCTTTTCACTTTCACTTCCCAGTAAATTTTTTAGTCATTATTAATTTATATTTTATAATATAGAGCTGCACTTTTTCAAATCAATAAGATTATTTCTTTTGTTGCTCTCTGAGATAGGAAGGGCAGATTTTCAGTCCCACTTTATAAACAAGAAAAGTTTAAATAATTTCCTTAGTCACAAATTGTGTGCTCAATAACCTAGTGAAACAAATAATCTACTTATAATCACAGAGTTAAATTTCTGGAAGAACAGTATGATGTTAAAAAGCTTCATCAAAAAATCCAGAAATTAATCATACTAAGTGAAGTAAGCCAAAGAGAGAAAGATAAATATTGTATGATATCACTGATACTTAGAATCTAAAAATGATACCAATGAACTTACAAGACAGAAACTGACTCACAGACACAGAAAACAAATTTATAGTTCCCAAAGCAGGAGCAGGGATAAACTAGGACTTTGGGATTAAAATACACACACTACTATGCATAAAATAAACAACCAGGACCAACGGCACAGCACAGGCAACTATACAGTAGGTCCCCTACATACAAACCTTCAAGCTGTGAAATTTCAAAGATGTGAAAATGCACATGGTCCCAGCAAGGAACCAGAACCTGAGCCAGCAACGTCAGGCATGAATGAAACTGCAGCTCGCCCTCCGACTCCTATTGCTGACGATCCTTCAGCTCACCGTCCCACCCCCTCCCCCTCCTCCAGTCAGCAACTCTCCTTGCCCGTTCACTCGATGCCAGCCCCTGTATGCCAGCTGTTGTGATGTACTACTGTACTTTTCAAAGTAACCAAACTGTAAGACTTAAAATATTTTCTTCATTTTTGTGTTTGCTTTTTATGTATTGTTCATAGGAAAAGTGTTATAGACCTACTACAATACAGTGCTATATAGCCGATTGTGTTAGTTGGGTATACCAAGGCTAACTTTGATGGACTTAGGAACAAATTGCTCTCATAATGTGCAACTTGTTCATATGTAGGGGCCCTACTGTATTCACTATTTTATAACAACCTATAATGGAAGAGAATATAAAAAAGAATATATATAGATTTATATATGTGCATACATGTATAACTGACCACTCTGCCGTACACCTGAAACTAACACAACCTTGTAAGTCAATCAACGGTATTGCACTAACATTTCTTTAAGGCTCCATGGAGACACTTACTTCAGCTCGTTGGTTTCCATGCCCTGGGCGATGGCCATGATGATGCCGCCATGGTCCCCCCACGTGTAGTAGTGAGGTCCGGGAAGAGCCTGGAGAGAGAGACAGCAAGTCACGGCTCATGCCACTGCCAGGGAGGTGGCCAGGAAGAAGAGTGCACACCTTAGACACATGCACACACACAGCAGGGATGTCACCACCTGAATACAAACGTCCACTCCCAGAGCACGTCACAGCCATCATCCCACCTGCTCCACACAGCCCCGGGAGGAACAGGGCAAGTCCTCACATTCCAGTTTTTTAATTTCATTTATATATGCCCAGCTGCACCGGGTCCCCGCTGCTGCACGTGGGCTTTCCCTAGTTGCGGTGAGCGGCGGGGTTACTCTCTAGTTGTGGCGGGTGGGCTTCTCATTGGGGTGGCATGTGGGCTCAACAGTTGTGGTGCACAGGCTTAAGTTGCCCCAGGGCCTATGGAATCTTCCTGGACCAGGGATTGAACCTGGGTCCCCTGCACTGGATGGTGGATTCTTAACCAGTAGACCATCAGAGAAGTCCCCAATTTTTTTTGCCAAGTGAAAAAAACTAGAGTTTCTATTAAAAGTGGCAGACTACAAACAGCAAAGAATCAAACTCCAATCTCTGACCTTCACCAAGCTGTGATTAAAAATTAACCAACTAGGGACTTCTCTGGTGGTCCAGTGGTTAAGGATCTGCATTCCAATGCAGAGGACACAGGTTGGATTCCTGATCAGGGAACTAAGATCCTACACGCTAAGGGCAACTAAGCCCATGAGCCACAACTAGTGAGCCTGCACACTCTAGAGCCTGTGAGCCTCAGTGAGACCCAGCACAGCCCCCCAAAAAACAAAGAATTAACCGACTGGAATTCTGGTTCTACTGTGACAGAACAAGCCCACTACAGCCCATCTTTCCTACTAATTACAAATAAAAGCCTTTGGACAAAACAGAAAAAGACAGCTACCTGAGGATGCTGAAAAGTAAACAAAATCAGGCAGCTTGTGAAGGGGACTGAAAACCTGGAGAAGCTACCCACATGACTGAGGCTTCCTGGTACACCCTTGCCCTGAGGGAATGCCCCAGCCTAGGATACCGCAGTCCCAGGCAGGTGGCTAACATTTTATAGAAACTTTCTGCATAAGCAGACAGGAAAATAAGCTCCTGCAGGATGGAGAGAATGTAGATGGAATCCCATAGCGGGGCGTCTAAGGAAGTAAACCCTCTAATTCTGTGTATAGACTCAGATTTCAGCCTGACCCCTAAGCTGTACGTGTGTGGAACAGACCCAAACCAGCACAGAAAAGACTCAGCAACCTGAAATGAGGTTTCCACAGAACGCAAGACGGAACTTACAGTCCGGATCTGAATAGGTTCATTACATGCTAAAACAAAAATTGCCACATCCTCCAGAAGATTTCATTTTGAGCCTGAGATACAATCCAAAAATCACTCAACATACATAAAGATCAGGAAAATGTTTCCAATCCTCCAGGGAAAAGACAATCAATGGGTGCCAAGCTCAAGATGATCCAAAGGTTGGAATTACCAAATGGTATAAAACAGTCATAACTGTGTTTCATAACGTAAAGGAAAACACACCTGAAATGAGCAAAAGATAAGAATTCTTCCCAGAGAAGTGGAAACTACTTTTTTTAAAAAAAAGGAAAAGAATTCTAGAACAGGAAAATAAAATGTTTGAAAATAGGAAAGACACTGATGGGCTCAATGAGAGAATAGAAATGACAAAGGAATTAGTGAATTTAAACATGAATATAGAAGAGTAGAAATGATCTATTTTAAGACCGTACAGAATAAAAGACTTAAAAGAGAAAACCCCAAAGACTTGTGGGCCAAAAGGTCTAACAGGTATAATTGGAGGCCATGATGAACAGGAGAAAGGAGCCGAAGCAGAAAAAATACTTGAAAAAATAATGGCCGAAAATTCCCCAAATTTGATGAAAGAGATAAATTTATAGATTCAAGGTAAGTGTCCCCCAAAACACTAAATTATACCTAGAAACATCATAACAAAACTGCTGAAAACCAAAGATAAGTAAACAATATCAAAGCTCTTAAGAAAAATGACATAGTACACATATGAAAAGGGTAACCAATGATTATGGATTTCACATCAGAAGAGAGCACGTCTTCTAAGCACAGAGGCACCTCAGAGATACTGCAGGTTCAGTTCCAGGCCACCACAAAGACACAAACCACCATGAAGCAAATCACATAGTTTTTTGGTTTCTTATGTTTGCACTAAACTAGTCTAGTAAGTGTACAATAGCATTATGCCTAAATAAAACAATGTACATACTTTAATTTTAAAATGTTTTATTGCTCAATGGAGTAGAACAGAAAGCCTTAAAATAGACTCACACATATATGGCCAATTGATTTTCAAACAGGCACCAAGGCAATTCAATGGAGGAAAGAGAAGTCTTTCCATCAGGGGATACTGGACCAACTGAATGTCTACAAGGAAAAATGAGTATCAACCCTTCACTTATACACAGATTAACACAAAATAGATCATAAACCTAAACCTAAAGCCTAAAACTATAAAACCTGTAGAAGAATAAATAGGGGACAATCTCTGAAACCATGGAAAGGACAAACATCTCTCAGAACAACAAAGAGCATAAAACACTGAAGAAAAGAATTGATACATTAGACTTCATCAAAAGTAAAAACATCGAGTCTTCAAAAGACACCATGAAGAAAATTTAAAAAAACAAGCCACAGACTGAGAAGATATTTATAACACACATAAAAAAACTTAAATCCAGAATATATTTTTTACAGAAAAACCTCTTACAGCTCAATAAGACAACCCAATTCTTTAAAATAGGTAAAATATCTGAACAGACACTTCAAAAAAGAAGATCTTTTAAATGGCCAATGAGCACATGTAAAGAAGTTCAACATCATTAGTCAGAGAAATGCCAATTAAAGCTACAATGAGATATCAAATGCACTTATTAAAATGCCCAAAATTTAAAATGCTGACCTTATCAAGGGTTGGCAAGCATCTGAAGCAATCAGAACTCACACACTGCTGGTGGAAATGTGAAATAGTACATCCACTTTGGGAATACAATCTGATATTTTAAAACACTTTGGTAATTCCTTTAAAAGTTAAACATATACCAATTAGATTGCCCACTCTTTTCTTTCTGCAGTATCTAACCAAGAGAAATTAAATATATATGTACACCTAAAAAACATGTAATTAAATGTCTGTAACAACTACACTGTAATCAGCAGAAACGAGAATGTCCATCAACTGACAAATGGATGAAGAAACTGTGGACTATCCCCACAATGGGATAGTAATCAACAATAAAAAGGAAAGAACTGCTGATAAATGAAACAACATGGAAGAACCTCAAAATCCTCAGAGTGAGAGCTAGCAGCCAGGCCAAAAGACCACACAGTGTATGAGACCATTTACACAGAATTCTAGAAAATGTTAATAATCTGGAGGAATGAGGGGAGAGAGAGGGATGAATCAGAGGAGACATAAAGATACTTTGGTGGGGCGATGAAGCGGTCTTAATTGTGGTGTGTTGGTGAAGAGGTAGTGAGGGTGATCAATTCTGATCAAATTATATACTTCAAATACGTGCAGTTTATTGTACCTCTATATGCCTCAATAAAGTTGTTGTTGTTTTTTAAGGAACTCTATGAATCTGAGGTTTTGCCCACCTAACTAGCAGTATAAACAGAAGGGGAACAAGAATTCTAGTCATCAGTTTTCTAGGCAGCATCTGTCAACTGCACCCCATTTCTTCTTCCCGGGCCACCATCAATCCCCTTCACACATTCAAGACTGTCCCTCTTAAGAGAAGGCTGCCCAAGGGGACTCAGATGTCCCCTCACCCAGACACTCAATCTTTTCATCCCCTCGTTAGTTCTCTGCTAGATCCAAAAACATGGTCCCTTGTGGGATGGCCACCTCTTGGCAGGCAGGGAGCGTGCCGGGCGGGAGGCACTGACAGCGCTCCCACATCAGCCGGAGGACCCCACTTCCCTGCAGGAGGAACGAGACACCGCTTTCTCCCCAGAAGGAAATCACTTGCAGATGTTCAAATTCCAGGTTACACCAACATCAGAAGGTACAAACCAACCACAAGCCTATCCGCAGAGGAAAGAACACCCAATTTCAAAAGGAATGTCCGGCTCCAGGGGAGAGGAAAACCACTGCTTAATCGCTCCCATGGGGGCGGAACGAGGATGCCCCAAAATTCCAAACTGTTCGCACGTTTTTGACTACTCTGAACTTAACAGTTTCCTTCATCCAAATACAGAATTATGTTCTCTACCATGCTGTAAAGTGTATCTCTCTCTCTCTCTCTCTCTCTCTCTCTCTCTCTCACACACACACACACACACACACACACACACACACACACACACACACGATGTCTGGGTCCTACATCTCTCAGCTGGAGGAATGGTGAGCCCTACCCCAAATGAGATAAGGTACGTGCAGGTCTGTAAACTGCAAAGACCCAAATAAATGTTGGATATGATTTCCGCTTCACATACGGAGTATTCCTCTATGAAAGTGCACAAGCTGCGTTCCCAGGAAAGGCACCGTGAGGATGGGAGCTGTCTACTGGCTCTGCTTGACAACCCCTCAGCCTTCCTGAGGTCACGCCTGGCTGGCGGGAGATCTGGGGGGTTCTACCCCTGCAGCTCCCCACATGCACAGCAGAGCGTCGCTGACAGCAGCACCTACAGAACGAGACCAGATGCCTGTCTCCCTGGTGAGGGAAAAAATGCTTTTTTGTTTTACAAGTTTGGAAATTCTCTAATGTCCAAGGCTGAGTTAGCATTGTGGGACTAGAGTACTAGCCCTTCAGAACTGCTATAATCGATTCCTGAGAATCCAAACTGAGTCACACGAACTTAAGGCAGACACAGCGTCCCTCCACAGCACAGAATGTGCACAGCACAGAACGAGATGAAGGACCAGTGATGGGGGGACGGGCTTGACTTAAACCTTCCATAGCACGCAAAGAAAAGGAAGTAACGAGGTTCTGATGTGATACCACTACATTACAATCTGCTGATGGATGCAGCAAACCCTTACTGAGCACCCTGTGTCCACACTAGACGCTGTTAGTCCCACGGCCAAAGGAGTGACAAGACAGACAGCACTTCATCCTCATGGAACTTGTCATCTTGGAATGTTTACACAAATTCACAGTTTGTTTTTTTTTTAAGTCTGTTTTTGATTCAAAGTAACATTTTTAGCAAAATCACCAGCCCACATTATGGAGTGCGATAACAAATCAGTGCAGCTGACCCTGTGTGTGGCTCTGGGTACCTCTCTAAATTTCATAATCACACTTGGCTTTGTGGGCCCCCCACCACAGGCCATGTGTGCCCCTGACACATTAAGACATGGCCCACGTTCTCACACTAACAAGAACAGGGGTGTGGGAGGAGGGAGCTGACCTCTCGCCACCGGGCTCCAGCACTGCTGGAGATATACACGTTGGTCTTGCTTGCCAGGTTCTTCCCCACCGAACCTAAAATGCAAGAAGAGCAATTATTCCTAAGGTCAAGAATACATCAGTTTATCACCCGGCCCAACCAGAACTGCTGAGTCCTCTAGCAACCAGGACATCTCAGGACCACGAACAGTCAGGGCTGCCCTAGGTGGCGGGGGTCCCTGTGTATGCGGCTGCACGTAAGCCAGCCGCTAAACCCGTCAGTGCCGACAGGCAAAGTCAACTCACCAGTGGCAATGATGAGGCCGGGCGCTGACTCCTTGGACAGGATGGGCATCCTCCGAAGCTGGAGGCTCAGCAGCTGGCTGAGCCGCTGGGCCAGGTGGAGGGAGCAGCCCTGGGAGAGCTGAAACACAAGTTCAGCTGCTGTCATCACGTGATATGCCCCCAGTCTCCCTCTAAAGGCCGAGGCTTCCTGTGCCCACACTGCAGCTGGCACAAAGGAAGGAGACTTGGCCCAAAGGAGACCACAGCCACAGCCAGGCTGCCCCCACCCTCACCCCAGATGGACATGATCATCTGCACCACATAAATGCCACTCATGGGAGAAAAGAGAAAAATACTAAGGAAAAAAAACTCCTTCTGAGACTCTCAGAGAACAGGAGTTAGAAATCAGAGCTATATATAAACAGGTAGTCTCAGTTCAGTTCAGTCGCTCAGTCGTGTCCGACTCTTTGTGACCTCATGGACTGCAGCACGCCAGGCCTCCCCATCCATCATCAACCTACAAGGAGCTATTGTATAGCATGGAGAACTATACTCAGTGCCAAAAAGGGAAAAGAATCTAAGAGTAGACACAGGTATATATCTGTGTATGTATGCGTAACTGAATCACTTTGCTGTACGCCTGAAACTAACACAACATTGTAAATCAACTGTAATTCAATGCAAATTTTGAAAGAAAGAAGTCAATGCCAACTTAAGTAGATGTGAAAGCTATCCCTCTCTCAGTGTTACCCAGCATTTCTCTTATGTCACTCAGAGAAACGAAATGATTTCACGGTACTTATCTTCTAAGTCACTGGAGATGCATTTCAAATATGATTTAAGCAACTCAGTCACAAGGAAAACCAAGACTCAAAAGTCAGAAAGTCTTACTGATACACTTCCAGATGTACAACATATGAGATAAAACACCACAAGATCCACATGAAATTTTTTTAAGTAAGTAGTCTTCATTTGTACAGAAAGTCTTCAGGTGTCCTCTGCAAGACTTGAAGTTATTCCAACTGGGCTCCAGGACTTACGTTCAAATTTCAATAGTTCTGCAAACAAGGTCTTTTGCTATAGGATCACGTGATGCCCAATTCTGCAGCCAGAAAATGACTGTCAAATGTTACTTAGCCTCGTCTAGTATTCTAGATAGGGTATCTCTATTTGTGCTTATTTTACAGGTCAAAACTGACATGATTTGCTAGATATACTTACTTTCATAACAAAAGGATTTCTCTAACGAATATCTGTCTTAAAATAAGGAGGGGGGACCCTTCCCGGTGGTCTGGTGTTTAACACTCTGCACTTTCAATGCAGGGGCATGCATTTGATTCCTGGTCAGGGAACTGGATCCCACATGTCACAACTGAGACTTAGCACAGACAAAAAAATAAATTTTTCTAAAAGAAAAAGAAAATGGAAGTGTAGAGCATCATATAAAGCCAGGGATCACAGTCACTGACTTCTTTCCAGGAAAAAGGTAGGGGCTGCTTGGGTGAATGGGAACCCTGAATGAGGCCAAATAACACATTTAAGGATCGTGAGCTTTTTAGATGAAGTCACATGTAAGGAAAATGGTAGAATCCTAAGTTATATTCAGGAAAGAATTTTATAAGACATTCCTCAGAAATAGTAACTTATGGCACAGGTTCCCAAACTTTCTAGGTTCCCAACACAACCAGTGTCTCAGTAAATTATTTTTATAACACCCTCAGATCAGAAGAAATACTAATATTTGTTTTTTACCACAGTTAAGTCCAAACAACCTAATAAGTACATATCCTAATAATTTAGCAGCAGCAGTTTGAAATAATACTGTATGTGTTTATATCTAAGTTGGAAAAAAAACATAAAACTTTTATCTCATCCTTAAATAACCACAATTACTTAATAGGATGTAGAAACCTGTTAGGCACTGCACAGCTTCTCAAACTTCAGAATCTAAGCAGATACCACTACTATCATTTCCTAAACCAGACCGATTTTCTTACTTGCTTTTGATCATGTAAACTGCCAAGCAAGAGTCCAGCTTCACAAAGATATGTCATCCAAAGACATATAGCACGAGCTAATGTTGAAACTATGAACTAACCCAAGAGAGTAAATTTACATGGTGACCAACAGACGTCAAGCACCCTTCAAAAACTTAAAATACCCCATGGTGCCCCTGCGAGCTCATTACAGCACCCCAAGATAACTCGGTGCAGAGTTTCAGAACAGTAAGAGTAGAACTGCAGTTATAAGTGTTTTTAAACAATCCAAACAAAAGCGTAGCATCTATACCTCACAATTGATCTTCTCTCCATATTCGGTGAAGGCTGGGGCCTGAAGGAATTCCCAGGTCCCGCCTTTGTCAAAGGTGATAACAGATCTCATGTTCTCCTCATTCATGGAGCCACTGATGAGCGTGGCGATGTAGACCCCCTGTAAGCCCTCCACTCGATGGAAGTCAGCAAATGGCTCACTGGCAAAATACCTACAATAAGAAAAAATAAACAGTGTGATTTGCTAGGGATATTTTTATTTTAGATAACAAAATTTAACCATTTTTTAAGATTTTTTTTTTAATGTGGACAATTTTTAAAGTCTTGATTGACTCTTACAATATTACTTCTGTTTTATGTTTTGGCTTTTTAAAGGTCGCAAGAGATGTGGGATCTCAGCTCCCCGACCAGGGACTGAAACTGCATATTCCCTGCATTGGAAGGCAAAGTCTCAAGCTCTGGACCACCAAGGAAGTCCCCACAAAATTTAACCATTTTAAAAAAGATGCATTGGCATTAAGTATCTTCCTAATGTTACGCAACCGTCATCACTATGTAGTCCCAGAACACTTCTATCATCCCAAAGGGAAACCCTGTACCCCCTGGTAGTCACACCCCACTTTCCCTTTCTATTCCAGATGCTGGCAACCACAATCAGTTTTCTGTCTCTATTTGTTGTTGCTATTCAGTTGCTAAGTCTAGTCCAACTCTTTGTGACCCCATGGACTGCAGCATGCCAGGCTTCCCTGTCCTTCACTGTCTCCCGAGTTTGCTCAGACTCATGTCCAAATTGAGTCCAGCCGTCTCATCCTCTGTTGCCCGCTTCTCCTCCTGCCCTCAATCTTTCCCAGCATCAGAGTCTTTTCCAAAGAGTCAGCTCTTTGCATCAGGTGGCCAAAGTATTGGAGATTCAGCATCAGTGCTTCCAATGAATATTCAGGACTCTTTTCCTTTAAGATAGACTGATTTGATCTCCCTGCAGTCCAAGGGACTCTCAAGAGTTTTTTCCAGTACCACAGCTTGAAAGCATCTTTACCACTCAGCCTTCTTTATGGTCCAACTCTCACATCCATACACAACTACTGGAAAAACCATATCTTGCACTTGCCTATTCTGGACATTTAATATAAATATAATTATATAATTATACCTTTTGTATCTGGTTACTTTCCCTTGCTATAATGTTTTCAAGGTTCATCCATGTTGTATCAGTACTGTATTCCTTCCTGTGGCTGAATAAACTGCCTTTTTTTTTTAAGTGATTTTTTTTTTTTTAACTTTGCAGGCCAAGGTGCTCATCTGACCAATTACTCCTCACATGGGGTTCAGAATGATGAATATAACACAGAAAAGTTGATGTGAGAGTTACATTTATTTCTCCACTAACAATATTGACCCCAAATCCTCCAGTGAGCCCAGTTCAACAGGAAACAATAAACCAAACTCACCAGATACTAATTATAGTACTGGCCTGTTCACAATAGCCCAAGACATGAAAACAACCTAAATGTCCATCAACAGATGAATGGATAGAGAAGATGTGGTACATATATACAATGGAATACTACGCGGCCATAAAAAAGGAATGAAATAATGTCATCTCCAGCAACATGGATGGACCCAGAGATGATCATAAGCAAAGTAAGTTAGAAAGAGAATGACAAATAGCACTTGCATGTGGAATCTAAAATATGACACAAACAAACCTATCTATGACATAAAGATAGACTCACAGACATGGAAAACAGACCTGTGGCTGCTGACAGGGATGGGATAGAAAAGGATTGAGAGTTCGGGGTTAGCAGATGCAAACTATTTTATATATAGGCTGGATAAACAACAAAGGTCTAACTGTATAGCACAGGGAACTATATTCAATATACTGTAAGAAACTATAATGGAAAAGAATATGTGTGTGTGTGTTTGTGTGTGTGTGTGTGTGTGTATAAATGAATCGCTCTGTCATAGAGCAGAAATTAAGACAACACTGTAAATCAACTAGACTTCAATTAAAAAAAAAATTACAGTGTAGTGCTGGGGCTTACAATTTAACCCAGTCTACAGAAATATAGCTAAGGGGTTACACTGTCCAGATACTTACAACTTATTAGCCAACACCCTGATCAGACAGAAGCCCATATGATTTGTCAGGGAACAAAGCAGAAGCCTTCCCAAAGACACAGTACATCCAACAAGGATGGCTCTGGAAACCTTGAGGTTATGCTTATTAACAGGGAAACAGAGACAAAGACCTCCCTGACCTTAACTGCTATGCCCAGATCCTGCAACTTCCCTGAGCAGTAGTTTTGCACTAACATGGTACACGTTCTAAGGACAGATCCCCAAGAAAGAGTAGCCACAGTTCACAGGTGGCTTTTAAAACTGGAAGCACGTCCTTTACTTGGAGAGTTCTGAGCCACCGGGCTTTGTTAATAAAAACAAACAAAACACACAGAACTGCACTTTCCTGTTATCTGTCACATAAATCTGAAGCAGGAAGACTGTTCCTCCAGATCAGACAGAAAGATGCACATACAAGTGGCAGGGCCACCCCGCCGGAGAGACAAAGCAGGTCCTCCAGAAATCACCGGTGCTGAGACCAAATGTTCTGACACTGGTTTCCTTAGTTCCGCTTTACTTGGTTTTCGGTTGCTTCCGTAGGAATCGGCCCAGGTCTGTTACCCACCTTGCCCTCTATTCACACAACTCTCCTGCTTGTGATCCTACTATTATGAGGGTCACCACCGGCTTCTTCCAATTTATCTGGGAGGTCTGAGTTTCTCTTGTCTCGAGGAGTCCTCACTAGAGTGAGTAGCCATTCCCTCCTCCAGGGGATCTTTCCGACCCAGGGATTGAACCCACGGCTCCTGCATTACAGGCGGGTCTTTTACCGTCTGAGCCATCAGGAAGCCTCTGACCATTTCCATCATCTCCACTGCTACTGCTCCAGGTCCAGCCAACCTCAGCCTCCAGTGGCCCAGATTTCAGGAGTGATCTCACCGCTGGACCCCCCAGTTTGCGAGTCTGCTAATTTCCACACAGCATCTAGCATGGCTTCTTTAAAAGATAAGTCACATGAGTATCCACCGAAAATAATCTATGACACTGCCCATTTATGTTTTAAGCACTTTTCTTTACATAATGTGATTCACATTTTTAAAATGGTGTCCAAAAAATGTAACAGGCTAAATGAAATGATGTCCCCTTTCTGGTCAAAACCCTCCATCATGCTTAGGAGAAAAAAAAAAAAGAGAGATCTTGCTATGCTTTTGAGGGCCCTGTGCAATCAATCTAAACCCTGCTTTCTTGGTTCCTGTGTCTTAGGCATGCTCTCTCCAGTCCATCACCCTGGCCTCCACACTGCTCTTAAACCACTCAAGTCCCACTCCAGAGCCCCTGTGCCTACTGTTCCTCGACCTGCAAGGCTCCTCCCCAGGTGATGTGCCCAGCTCCCTCTCCTGTGTAATTCAGGCACCTGCTCGAACATCATCCTCCCAGAACAGCCTTCCATGACAGGCTCATATAAAGCAATGCCCTTGTAACCCTCTGTCCTCTTATCTCACTTTATTTTTCTTCTCAGCACTCAGCATTATCGGCAGAGCATATTTGTATTTGTTTCTATTTTGTCTTCCCACAATTAGAACAAAAGCGCCATAGATCAGGAAGCTTGTTCCAAGTTCTCCTTGCTGGACACACAATACTGCATGGCTGTACGTGCAAAGCCTCCAGGTACTGACGGCAGCATCCTTGCTGAATGAACTGGCAACTTTCAGAGGGACAGTGGGCAGCAAGGACATGCCCTCTGACCTGAGGTTCATGGCGCTGGAGCCAGCCCTCACTGCAGACCAGCCAGTTCTGCCAGCTGGCTCCTCCCAAGAGCAGAGAGCAGCCTTAATCACAGTGAGATGCACACAAGAATGGTCTGTCACAGACAAAGGAGAGTCAATGACCTCGCGCCACTGATGGGTCACAGAGCCACCCGGCGGCATGGCATCCACCCCTTTGCAGTCCTGGCCTCCTCCATGGTCCCGAGAACACTGTTACAGCAGGCCCGCTCCAGGCATGTGACGTACTGATAAAGGACCTTTCCACAGATACCACAAAACAATACCTTGCAATTACGGGGGCAGGAGTAAAAGAATAATGATGTTAATTAACCAGAGTCACGTGGAGGAAGGGCCTTGTAGACACACACGCCAACTGGCCCAGAGGTGGTGGTGACGTTTTGCCAGTGCTCTTTCCCACTGGGTCTGAGACCAAAAAACCAAGTAACCGAATGAAGGGACCCCAAAGGAGTGGCTGACACAGTGGCAGTGATCCTAAGGGTCACCCAGCGCAGCGGTGCTCAACCTCTGCACCGTATAAGCATGTGGGGACTTCCCTGGTGGTCCAGGGGTTAAGAATCCTCCTGCCAATGCAGGGGACACCGGTTCGATCCCTGGTCTGGGAGGATCCCACATGCCTCGGGGCAATTAAGCCTGTGCGCCACAACTACTAAGCGTGTGCTCTAGATAGAGCCGGTGCTCCGAAACAGGAGAAAGCCACCACAATGAGAAGTCCGTGCACTGCAACTAGAGAGGCGCCCCCACTCTCCGCAACTGGAGAAAGCCCAGCAGCAGCAACGAAGACCCAGTGCAGACAAAGATGAATTAGTTAAAGCTGTTCCAAAAATTAAAAAAGAAGATCCTCGAGTGCCTGTCACACCTCAAACCAGATAAAAAACGTAATGTCTGGGAAGGTGAACCAGTAATCACTGGGGCTTCTGAAACCACCCCCAGGGGAGCCCAAATGCTCAGCGGATGCTGAAAACCACCCGAGGAGAGGCCGTGCCGGGTAAGAAAGCAGGCAGCGGCCCCGCCTACCGGGCTCCTTACCTCACCAAGGTGTCACTGCCTGCCCCCGCTGGGCTGTAATAGAGCACATTCTCCAAGGACAGGGAGAACTTCAGCCCGTCTGCCTCCGAGATGTACAGGTTGGTGCGGTTGTTACTGTGGCTTACACACACGAACACCTGGTCCTCGGAGGCGTCCGCGATGTAATATTCCTTTGGCAACAAAAAATCAAAAAGACACAAGTCAAAAAAACACATACGCCCTATGGAAGGTCCCTATGCACACACAAGCCCAGGCTTCCCAGTGTCCCAGTGAGGAGGGCAGTCTTGGAGCCCACGAGAACCTCCCCGTCTTGGGAAAGAAACTTGGCTGACTCTCTTCAGAGACCCTGAGGCTGTCCTGTGGCTGGAGCAGACTCCTTATCGGCAGATGGGGCACAAAATAAGAATGGGTCTTGAACTTCAAAAACGACCTAGAAATCACCTTTACGTAATGATGTCTCCCTATCGTTACTACAAAGCATAATGCAAATTAATGTGCATTTCCTTCCCTCTCATTTCCTCTAAGATGACTACAGCAAGGCAGAACCCAGAGAAGGCGAGGAACTGACAAACATGTTCTCCATCACATACTCCTCTGAGCTACTAACCTTCCATCGCACCACGCCCCGGCATCAAGGCCTTCAAATGCCACCTCCTCCCCACGGTCACTTCTCTGATGACCCAGCTCTCACTGACCTTTCCTATGGTTCTCTACGTCCTGACTCACGCTCCACAGTCAAGCCTTTGACTGCACATGGCTTCTTCCTCTGCTCTGTTCTTGGACCCTCCAGCCCATCTGTTTCTAAAAGGGTGAGGCTCCAATCCTGTCCCCTTATGGAAGGAACCTTGCCATCTGTGATCAACACAGCAGGTACTTAATGAATAACTGCTGCTGTCCCTACCCTCCCATTCCTTCAGCACGGGACACTGAGCCCATTGACTCTGGCTCCAAACCGCTCTGCCAATCCTTCTCCACTTCAAGCTAATTAAGGCTCCCATTCAGCTCCACTTCAAAAAGTGAAGAGGGAAAAAAACAGACCAAGATGCCCAAAGCATAGAGACTAATCTAGAAAGTGACTCCAGGGAGCCTCCATCAAATATTCTCCCCCCATCACCCTCCCCCTGACCTCTGCCTGAGGACAAGAGCACTCCTCCCCACCCCCCCACCGCAGACCCCACTCACATTAATAGGATGTCTTGTGACAAACTGGGCTGCTCGCATGGGCTTCCGGCCAAAGGAGACCCAGAGCTGGACAGAGGATGGTTGTGGACTGCCGAAGAGATGCTGCCACGGAAGAGGAGGAGAAAAATGTCAACTGTACCATACGATAATCATTCAGAACAAGTGTAAAAGGAAGCAGAAAAGTCAGATCCCTCTGATTCTACTAAAAACACTAAATAGTGTGATCACAAACGCACATTTTGCAACGTTTGCCGTCAGTGAGCAGCTTGGGCTATACCACTATATCCTAGATACCTGGTCTGCAGTAGATGTAGACACTCCAGGCACTACATCAAGAGAAAGGACGAAGTGTGAAGGGAGAACTTGAACTTGGGCGGGGGGTGGGGGTGGGGGGCTGCCAACGCTTAAGCAGAGAGCGAAAGGGAGAGGGGCTGTGTGATGAGGCTGGAGAGACAAGCTGGATGGACATACAGCCCCCAAACCACCAGAGGGTGAGGTCCGCCACACACCTGACATGCATACAAAACATCCTCTTCCCCTTTCTACTATTTCTAGATCACAAGGATCCCCCAGTCACAGGGCTTTCATTTTTACCAACAGTTGAGGGAGTTGTCACTGATTCTATTTTTCAGTCTTTTAATCCTTCTCATTGATTAGGGTCTTTGGCTACAATATGTTTTCTTTGGTAGAGACAGAGTACTCCATGGGATGCTGACCATGCACATGATGCTGATCACACTGTGTTTCAGGGATATTAATCACAGCTGGGAGCTTGCTCATTGTGTAAAAGCACTAGATTCAGAGTTAGCTCTCAATTTCTCTAGGTTCCAACTTCTGTGTGTTTAGTCGCTCAGTCGTGTTGCTTTGCGACCCCATGGACTGCAGCCCACCAGGCTCCGCTGTCCATGGGGATTCTCTAAGCAAGAAAACTGGAGTGGGTTTCCATTCCCTGCTCCAGGGAATCTTCCCAACCCCGGGATCAAACCCAGGTCCCCCAGATTGCAAGCGGATTGTTTACCATCTGAGCCACCAGGGAAGCCTAGGTTCCAATGTATCCCTCTATAAATTGAGCAGTTGATTTGAATGAGGACTTTGGGTATGGGTTTAAGTGATCTAGGAACCCCATAAATATATATGCAAATTTTCTGTGGATGCACTCACTCACTTTGCTAGGGAGGATATATACATTTTAGAAGTTTCTCAAAAGGGCCAGTGATCCAAAAAAGAGTAAGAAACACTGCAAAGGCTCCATGTGTCTCTCTCCAGTTCTCCAAGTCTGTGACCGGGGACTGGAGGCCAATACTGCATGCCTAGGAGAACAGACAGGGAGGTCCAACCTCGTGTGGACATCCTCATGGACATGACTATCATCCGACCTGAACGTCGGGATCCCCAGCCAGAAACAGTGAGTTTGGCTTCACTTATCCTCGACTATGCTGCTACTGTTTCTTACAGATTTTTAACTCCTACAGAGTACAGAAGATTTCAAGTTTTCTTTTTTTTTTTGATGTCATGTTTTCTTGACTGTATTATGACAACTGCTAAATACTCTATGCTCATGTATGTCTAACAAATTCTGTGAAGAGCAAGCTGATGAACGTGGAGTTGTTTTCTATTCACCTGAGTAGCTGAATGTATACACACACACACACATTTTTTCCAAGCCACCACTTAACACTGGTTAAAAGTAGTTTGTTTTAAAGAAGCCAGGCAGAGAAGTACAGAAGACTGCCTTCCCAAAATGGCACCCTGAAAATTACATAATAGCCTGTCCTCAGTAGGGGGCTATAGAAATGATGGATTGCTTAAAAACACACACACACACACACAAAAACACAAAATGTATCACCCGAGTGACAGAGTTCCCAAAATTGCTATGTATAACTTCCAAAAGCCCTCCTTAAGTCAATCAAGTTTTATAGCTAAGTATCAAGGTCAGATGATTTTAGCCACCCTATATAAATCCTTATGAATGTATATATAATTACACAGATACCAGTGAAACATTTTTTCATGCTTTATGTTTTTTCACCACTTCCTACTGCAGTTATACCTGAGAAAAGAGCCATTTCTCTCAGTGACACTCAAGCCCATCGTTAGCTTTGGCTGTGCCACACAGCATGCAGGATCTTAGTTCCCCAACCAGGGATCAAACCCATGGCCCCTGTGTTGGAAGCACAGAATCTTAACCACCAGACCAACAGGGAAGTCCAAGCCCATCACCAGTTAAATGTTCTTAAAGGTGATTGCTGGGAGACGTGAGAATGGATAGCAAGATATAAATGCAAGAGTACTAAGGTCATGAAAAACCTCCAAAGACATCCATCCCACTTTATTCTGGGAGAAGTATTCCTAAGTCTAGATAGTTAGGTTCACTTCTAAAGCATTCGTAGACAAGTTAGCGTAATATTTTACCACCACCAAGAAAAGTATTAACAATAAAACTATGACACATTATAAACGGCAAGATGCATTTCTTAATAAACCATTGGTGATGCTGGATTTCTCGTCATCGTTATTGTAGAAGTAAAATACTGTATACTCATGAAAAATCCAACAGTACAGACAGCTATAAGGTAAAATGCAGATCTGTTTCTTCTATTAAGTGCCCACTGGTAACTGGCTCTGGGCCATTCCTTCAGAGACGCCCTGTGCCATCACCTGTGAGTATATTTACACAGTGACAGACATTGTACCACTTACCACAACATCCATCAGCCCTTTCCTCCTTAGCAAACCCTGACAACCACCCAAATAAAAGCCTAAGGCTCTCTTTCTTTTGGACAACTTTGTGTGGTCATGTTACTGAGGACCAGTCAATGAGACATGAATAGACTCTTGTGCTGGGTTTCAAGGAAAGCTGTTGAAAGGGACTGAATCAGCTGGGAGGGGTCCTATTTTGGCCTTTCTATCTGTCTTCATTCTCCTGACTCCAACAGCCTTGAAGCCTAGTGTAAATGTCAGGGACCATGAGGGAGAGTGTGGAAATTATTCCTTTGGATGGTCAAAGAGCAAGATAGAGGCTTGGGGACTTCCCCAGTGGTCCAGTGGTTAGGCCTCTACTCTTCCAATGCAGGGGGCACAAGGTCAGTTCCTGGCCAGGGAAATGCCATGTGGGCAGCCAAAAAATTAAGCAAAAGAGGCCAGGAACACCAGGGCACCAACATGCCAGCCCTAGCTTTAGGCAGCACTAAAGAGAGAAAAATAAACCTCCATCTTGGCGAAGTCACTTTTATTTCTAGTCTGTTAAGAGTAGCCAAATACATCGCCAAATTGATACATGCAAATTTCTTTTTCACATACAACTGGATCATGACAGAAATATGGCTGTGAAACTCATGAGAGAAATGGTATTATGTAACACTTTTTTCATTAACAGAGTATCTTACTGTTTTACAATTTAACTTTTTCCATCAGCAGTGTATCTTAGACATCTTTGATTTAAAAGCTATTAATGGCCATTTAGGTTATTTTCAGAAGCACTCTTCAATGAACGTACCTATATGAATTACCTTTTTCACAGCTACAGGAGAAAATCTGTAAGATGCATTATTAGAATTCCTAGGTCAAATTTTCCATTTTGACAAGAGAGCATAAATGGCCTTCCTGAAAGGCTATTCCAGTTAATACATCTACCAGCACACATACTTTCACCAACAACTAGGAATTATTTAAATGTTTTAATTTACAGTAATATTACAGGGCCTCTGAATTCATAGGAAGATATTTTTCATTTGGTGTTTTCATTTCTGAAAAGTAAAAAACAAATATAAGAATCTGAATAATCTGAATTTCAGAATCTGAGTTTACATTTATGCTTGAGATTAAGTCAATAGCCAAAAAAAAAAAAAAAACTGGCAGGAGAAGAGAGCAGAAGGGAACTAAATATGATATATTCTTGCCAAATGAGGGCCAAAAGATGTCACGGTGATCTAGTCAACTGAAAGTTTCAGATAAAATTGGTGCGAGAAATGAGGGACCCAAGGCATGTGGCAAAGACACGGGTTCAGAAGCACCTGGGCTGTAACATATGTTGCCACTTTCTCTTCGAAGCAGTGACAACGTTTCAGCAAAATATCATTCACCTTCATGTTATCTATACCTAATAATTAATAGATAAAATGATATATCTGAGATTTAGTTTAAAATAGTCCAAGAAAAAATAAGTAGTGAATAGACAGTTGAAAAGAGATTACCAAATGTAGATAGTCTTGAGACTGAATAAAGGCACAAGGGGAGGTCATATCAGCACACACAAAAAAAATTTTTTTTGTAGATGTGGAAATAATAAAAAGTTTGCAGAGTTAATATTAACTGAAAGCACTTCTGGAATGGCAGAGGAAAGAACTCTAAAAATCCACTCATCCATGCAAACAAGAGCATTGACAAAAATTCTCAAAATCAACTTTTTCAGAATCCTGAAAATTAAATAAAAGCTTGCAAAAATTCAAGGAGCATTTATTCAAGGCAATGACTGAAGCTCAGCAAGAACAGTGAACTTGGTGATGTTTCAACTTGTCCTGATCCCAACCCTCTTTCTCTAGCTGACGTACTAGTAGCGTGGGAAACCCACAGCATCACAGCCACAATCGCTATGAAAACCAGCAGCCCGGGAGAGGACAGAACAGGTTTGGAGCTCCCCAAATGCCCCACAGCCAGAGACTGTCAGATTTTATCTGCCTGGTGACTCGCTTGATAGCTGCATTCTCAGGTTGTCTCCTTAAATAACCTGACTCAGCCCTCTCTACACACAGACCTACAGCCTGGGCATTGACGGGAAACACCGACAAGTGGTGAGTGTTTCAACACCACATCTGCCAGAGAAACGTTAGCACCTGGAGCTCACAAAAGGTGAACTGAAAAGCATAAAAGGAAAAATGGGAGAAGATGTCCATAGGAGGCCTTGATAAGCTCTGAAACATTCCAAGGAATTTACAAGGTCACACGCATGAAGGGCTGTGTTCCGCTCAGCAAAGAATGGAATTCTTAATAACCATGAGTCTCCACACAAACAAGAAGTGAAGACTAAGGCAGAGCTGCAGAAGGCGCAGAAGGCATGCCCCCAACACACACTCAGAGGCCCTCAGCAAAGGCCGACAGAC